AATTAATCTCTGCTTACAAGTACATCATCTCTTTATGTCTCTACTTGTCTCTTGATATGCATTGAGCTATACAATCTCTAAAAGGATTTTTTTTCAAGACTGCACTCAAAACTATATTCAAGTTTAGACGTAAGAAGGACAAAAAAAAAGTTGAGCATATTTATATGATTTATATGCCAGGAGGTCTCAAAGTGAGTGGGGACCCCCTGAAGGGTCATATAGAAATTTACGGATCACAGATTTTTAAAAAAGTTATTTATCCTTGGACAAGCAAACTGGAGCATTATCAACACTTGCTTCAGGCTTTGTTGTGGCTGCACATGCCCCCTACTGGTTCACAAATCTGGAAAATTGTTAGGATATATATATTACATTTTATTTAATTTTAATATATGATTTTCTCACCCACAGCTAGCTCCAGTAAAGTTATTATTGCATTCATAAGGGGAGAGCCATACACATTAATAATGCTAGAGTTTTCAAATTTAAGAACCCCAGTTATAAAAGATGAACATGAAGATGTATGTTTTCTGGGGTGAAAAATAGATCACTCTTGCAGAATTATTTCTTTGGTCCTGACATGCCCTGATCAAAGCACTATTCGGATGAAAATGTGTTGTCCAGCTTTCTCCTACCCTTCCCATTTTTTTCCCTAATAAGCCATTTTGTTGATATAGCCCAGTAATGAATATGTCATAGTGATGATAAAACTCGGCTCATGTACAAATGGTGATTAGCAATAGCAGTTAGACTTATATACCGCTTCATAGAGCTTTCAGCCCTCTCTAAGCGGTTTACAGAGTCAGCATATCGCCCCCACAGTCTGGGTCCTCATTTCAACCACCTCGGAAGGATGGAAGGCTGAGTCAACCTTGAGCCGGGAAGATTAGAACCGCTGAACTGCAGATAACAGTCAGCTGAAGTGGCCTGTAGTGCTGCATTTAACCACTGCGCCACCTCGGCTCTTATATATATATATAGATAGATAGATAGATAGATAGATAGATAGATAGATAGATAGATAGAT